TCACTAATACAACCATGTCTGGGCAATTGCAGCCTACGAAATTTTTTTTTGTTAATATATATCATGCTGATCAATCACTACATAATTCACCTGTTGAGGTTCATTTGCTTGTATTACAATCAAATTCTAATGTTGATAAACTAGTGCTATGCATTCCAAATGTCTCCATAGTACTCTTAATAATACTATCCCATAACTCATGATATGAATCTATATGAGGGGGAGAGGATAAATTATCCGTCCTAAAAGTTTTGAATAAAGGTATGTACATTCTGCTTTTGTACTTAGTGTAAAATATGTGTCTCGTTCTTCTTTAGTTATGCCACTTGAACCTACAGTACTAAATTGGAAAAATAATTAGGAGCAAGCAGTGTTTTTACTGGAGGATTTTCATTAAGGAAATTTGCCAAGTGAGCTTTATGAGGAAATTGATCAAGACTTTTAATTAATTGTTTTATTATTTGAACAGTAATGTCTAAGATGATAAAATATCATAGGAATGTCAGAATAATAACAATAACAGAGGGAAAAAAAGATAAAATTAATAATTACCTTCTGATGCTATTATATTGAGAAAATAATACACAAAATTGGTTGATATTTTTTTTGCATTCAGTGGCAGTAAAAAAGAAAACACATGGAAAAATAAAGGTATCAGCACAAAAATATGATACCTATACAAACCTTGAAGCTTCTGCTCTATATAACAGTAATAAGCATATGAGGCATAAGTTAATAGATGAAATTATTGCAAAGAAAGTGGTATAGATTTAAAGTGTTCATATGCAGTTGTGGTACTTACCTTGTATTTCACCTTTGATTTTATTAACTAAGCTTATGCTGGTCCTACTAATAATCCACATTTTTCAAGATCATTTTGATTCAACTCAAGAAAGTCTGAACCGGAGATTCTATTCTTCTTGAAATTTATTGATGTCGTCATTGACAAGATACAACTCATTTTTTTGAGACTTCAGAAAATCAATAACATCTTGCAATAAACATTTTTTTTTTGCAAAATGTTAATCAGATTATTGTACAACATGCACTTTATAATTTAATCATATGTGTGATTCTGTGCCCAGAGGTCTTTGACGAAATTTTCAGAACATCAATCACTTTTGCCAAGAAAAAAAAAATTGAATGTATTGTATCAATTATATCATACAACACTATGTATTAAATATGTACGGGAAGGGAAATATACAAGTTCACTCCAAAGATGTTTAATCAGTTTAGGATCTGGCAATTGAGAGGGCCAATCAGCTGAACTATTTATTTTTTTCTTTACCAAATGGATTTTTGGATCAAATGAAACTGTTATTTATGAAAATTTTTTTTAACGTTTTGTGCGAGGTTCCAATGAAGTTAACCAATGAAATTCAATTACAGTGTCATACACACGAATTTTATTGGTTAATATCAATTGAAGATCTACATTGGAATATTCCAATAGCATTTACAATGTTCCAATTGCACATAGGGATGGGGACGGTTTATGTCACGTCCGGCGACGAATATTATTTTTATAATTGATCCGTGACGATTAATTACTAAATTATTAGTGACAATTAATTTGTCTTGTTTTGGCAATATAAATGTCACTTATAATTTAGTAATTAATCGTCACGGATCAATTATAAAAATATTATTCGTCGCCGGACGTGACATAAACCGTCCCCATCCCTACGTGTGACAAACTCGTATAATTTTGAGCTTTAATTTCATAGTGACATGATATATGTAGAGAAATGCTTTGGCTTCAAAACTACAATTTGTTTTTTTGGAAGAATTAAAGCCAATAATCAACAAATATTGCTATTTTTAAACTATTATTGGATACCAAAAATGGTCAAAGGAGTAATTCGTTGCAGCCGGATTTTTTTTTGTTAGTATTAATATGTGGTAAGGTAAAATTTTCGTCGATTAAAAATATTTCCACGTGATATTTCCCATTCGTATCACAAAGATTTTCTTAAATTTTATTGGCTAAAATTGTATACGTGATAAATTTTAAAAAACTTGAAATTCGCCCACTCTATTAGTTAATTTGGTACCCTCTGCTTTTAAAATATTTTTATTTTAATTCCTTTGGTTTGGTCAGACGGGGATTACAAAATTTGCATAAAGGTTCCATTTTGGCCACCCATAGTGTATATATATATCTGGATTCTTCATTTACTGCACTTTGTCATTGAAATTCAAATAGGCATGACTTACGTACTAAGCGAAAGGGGTTTTACGTAAAAATTTGCAATGGCTATCATAGTTTTTCATCTGAAATAAAATCATTGCTCCAACGCGTCACGATTTTGTGGTGTTTAAAAATGGTTTTGCAATTCTTCTTTGAAATAATCAAAAAACTGCACAAAGTGGACAAATCTCGTGTACCTCATGCCAAAATTGAATCATTTAAAACTTCGTTTGTAGGCAACCAATTGGAAATTGTCAACTTTTAAAACTCGTTTCTTTCATCCTTTTTTTATTGTGTTTTTAAATATTTCACCCTAAACAATACCTTTTGATTTTTCTAGTAAATTATTTACATATTTATTAACGTATTCAACCATCAAATTAAATTCATGGATCCAGTATGCTATTTGAATGAATATTTGTAAATTGCATATTTCATTCAAAAAAAGGATATTTCTAAAAAAAATTTTTTTATCATAATTTAATTTATTCCAAAACAAATAAATAGTTAATCATTATGTAAGGTTTAGCAAATCTGGGCTCTGAAATTGAAAAAAATCAAATTATATATTTGCAATACCCCCAAAAAATACAGAAATGCTTTCCTGATAAAGAAAACTGTGAAATGTTTCATTAGGTGATTTTGAGATATCAAGTATGGATTTAAAAACGAATCTCGCCATTTCTACATAAAAATATTTTTTTACGCGATAACACACGAGTCTAAATTTAGAATAATAGTAAAATATGAACTAAAAAAGAATAGAACTCAGCCAATAATAGAGCTATTTTTAAAAAAACCACATGCAAGGTTCCAAATATATAAATCATGTGATAATACGCCAATTTTCTCAGCTTTTGGTAATAGTAATAGAGATCGGAGGAATTGAAATTTCACCGAGAATTCTTAGCAGTATCTTTTTAAGTCATCCTAATAAACATTCTGTCTATTGTATCTTCTTATTAAATCAACTTTCAGAGAAAATGTCATTTTGAATTATTTACATATAAATTTAGATCTTTAAACTGCATGACAAAATTAGTCCATGCGAGAATGGATTAAAATCTTCTGGTTAGGAATTTTTTTTTAAAAAAAGAAATAGAATCGCGCAATAAAAGATTTTAGATTATCACACATGTAGAATTTTAAAATGTATTTTAAATTTTTCAAAATAATCATAAAATCGAATTTTATATATGTAATCTTCAGAATGAAAACTGACCACTTTTTGACAGGACAGTATGTGGAGGAATAATAATATATATTGGATTAGCGTATAAGTTGCGTGTACTCCGAAG